TAGAAAGTGTGGGCATAGTAGGAGCGGTGAAGCAGTTGGAGAGAGACAGAGAGAAGAGAGGACATCATTCGTTCTGATACTGCTACAGAGGATTACCACTAATCTCTGTTTGGGCCGGAGCTCGCCTCCAACACATTCTCCCATTGGCTCCGGTCTAATCTCGATGCCCACATATCCAACAAACGCCCTTTCATTGGCTCCACCTTCCAGTGTGGTTTATGGGAATATGTGTGCACGTGTGCGTCCATTATTCACCAGTAAAAACAGTGTCCTTCTGCCAAAACACAAACGCTGCCGGGAGGGAAAATTGCCTGTTTGTGCTGGTGCACCGCTGTCAGGACTCCTAATGCTGCACGCATTAGAACGGGATTAGATGAGGCTCAGTGTCTGACTGTGTCTGGGAATCGGAAGTGAGGTGACGCACTTGCTGAGAGCAACAGAGCTGCATACTGAGCTGGAGTTGTGGGGAATATTACAGTGTCTTATAGAGAGTATCTAAAACATATACAAGGCATACCCATCCTGGGTGAATACCAAATACTCCATCCTGGGGGCTGTAGTTGTTGACGTACTGTTTAATTATTATGTAAGATTTCTTTAAAGTGGAGCTCTTTGTACTGATTAAAACAGTCAGGTCTACACGAGGGAATAAGACAGTCTGTGTGCATGTGTGCACTCGTCCTGGCATTTATTTGTACACCACTGAGAGGGTAGACTTTATTACAAAAAGCAGTGAGTCACTACTCCACAGCAGCTGGCGCTTACTAGCTGCGTAGGCGTGTTTTTGTGTGTTTGTGCACAACATCAAGTGATGGAGGCTTAGCCCGAGTGCCTCCAAAAGTCAAATCTATCAGGTTCTTTTCTTTGAGTGTTTTGGAACCTAAAAATACATCAGTTTGTTTAATCTGCTTTGAGTTGCTGCAGCTGCAGGAGACACACATGCTTCACACATGCTCAAGCACCTTCCTCCTCTTTTCACTGTGCTCACAACTGATTAGTTTTGATGGTTTTATGGTATCCTGCGATATATACACAGTATATCTACATAGAGACTGAGGGAAATGCAGATTTAGAACTGCTGCAGAGCACTACATACTGGGGGCTAATTTTGTGTTTTTCATAAAGTCACTTGACGAAACAATTAAGGGTGAGTGCCATATGGCCATATGCATCCAACACGACACATTAGTTTCATATACAGTCATTTAATAAGAAAGCACGGCTTCTTTCAAGTCCAATGTTTTGGTCATAATAAAAACCATCTGATGAATAAAAATACTGACATATTATTTAATTCTTTGTTTATTCGTTCATTTAAAAAGGTAAACAGCAGCTAGGTGCTGATAATTAAATGTACATGATTAGCAGCCGTTGCTGCCCATCAGTCTCGGAATGGTTAAAAGGCTATTTCCAAACAAATTTATGTCCATCATTCTACAGCAAGAAGGATTATTCAAATGGAAAACATTCAAGACAGCTGTCAGTCCTTCCAGGAGTGGATGTCCTCCAAGGTCAGCGTGAAACTGTAAACTCCCTAACAGCGACTTCTCAGGATCTTCAGGCCTCAGTTTGCATGTTAAATCTTAAAGTACATAAAAGTACAATTAGAAAAAAGTGAACAAGTTCTGCAAGCTTTTGAATCATTGTGTTTATGTAGTTTTTCACAGGAATGCTTCTTTGTTTTGGCTTGGATTCTGTTAACTAGATAATGACACAGTGTTTTTATTGCATATGTTGTTGTTCAGTTCAGGTTCTATTGAAGTAATCTCAGAACCTGCTAAGGACCGGGTGATTTTCTTATTATGTCCTGATACAAGAAACCTTAGAGTCGAATGAGGGTGTACTTTCTTTCTTTACATGATTGTAAGGGTGTATGTCTTCCTGCTGCCTACTGCTCACACGGATTGTTCGACAGGTCCATTCATCAATCTATGCAAATGAAGAATATTACCAATAATGTATTTCCCAGATACAATGGTTAGGACTCAAAGTGCTCAGTGCACTTACACTGTGCGTGAGTGCTTGCAGAAGATATTTAATGTACCTAAATACAGACAGCGTGTTTCTCTGTACGTCTCTTTGTGTCGTTAAAACAAATCATCTCGTGTCAGCTTTGTTTGTTCATTTTTCTTTTTTTTAAAAGTGTGCTGTGGTGATTATTTCAGAACATCTGGCACTCACACAACCATGACTGTTTCCAGTCCCTCACCTCACTGTGGGGGATGTATCTGAGGAGGGTTGGGGGTGGGTGGAGCTGGCATCCTGTCTGAAGAAGACATTAGGTGATGAGCAATTAAGAAATGAGGATGTTGATGGTGTTTTCAGGGATATGACCGTTTCCTTGGCAATGCAGAGGAAATATGGGTGTTTGGGAGTGGAGCGAGAGGAAGACCCGCAGTCAAGACCATCTGTCTGCTGGGCAGGTAGAAGAAAGGACAGACACACAAACAGTGGATGATGAGAGATCTGGTTTGCTTTGTTCTACAGGCACCAACAGAAGAGCGCTGGCTCTGAAACAGCGCTCAGAATAAAGCGCTCTGCTGCTGCTGGGTTCAGAGTAGCAGCTGTTGCTAATTAGCAAACAGATTTCACACGTCTTTGTTGATAGTCGTTGATAGTCAAAGCTTGCTGATCGTGGTCTAAGAGATGTGCTGGATTAATATCTCCACAACTCAGCAACCTGCAGTTTTAGGATTTATGAGATTATATCACACGGTTCAGTCTTTCAGAAAGGGACACTTTCTTCAAGTTAGAAATCCTGTATTATCTGGGGGTTTTTTAGTTTTTGGATGAATTTGAGAGTATCTTACTACCAATTTCTTGCTTGTTCTCTTATAGTATTATGCTGTTGTGCTTCTTGGCCAGTTCCACGTCATAAGAAGAGAACAAGAAGAACAATTAACAGGGAAATGTTCATTATTGAGCTTAAAGGTGCTGGTAGGCAGATACTTACAGCAGTTTAAGCACAGACAGATCAGACTAATGATATCTCAGTGTAACATCCTTATGTGCTTTTTGACAGACTTCCCACTGTGCTCACCAACTTTCACATCAGATCGGTGAATTCGTCAGAGAACACAGCTCAGACCTGATTAACTCTCATCTCATGACTCCGAGCTGCCTCAGGCTTTGCCTCAGGTTCAAACAGAGACCTCATCTATTTCTTATGAATGTTACATTCAGTTTCCCAGTGTTGAGCTCTCTCATCAGATACTGAACAGTTTGTCTTTGCATTGTGCAAATTGAAAACGTTTTGTAGCTTGATTGCATTTGTGTCATTAAGCTGAGGTGACTGCAAGTAAGGTACACTTGAAACTGTTGGAGAGAAAACTGGAAAACCTCGCATCGCTGAGAAATTGGTGTCACATCAGCTGAGGGGCACAGGGTGTAAGAGGTGAGCTGACGCTGATGCTGCATCTGAATAGCTCCAGGAAAAAAGAGATATTGTGCAATGGAAAGCATAGCTGTCCGACAGGCAGGCATCTGGATGAGCTGCTTTACAGCTCAGACACACACAATCAGTGTCAGTAGCTGTATGCAGAACACATTCATTTGCATGGACACATACAGTTAATACCTCAATTCAATAATCAGAAATAAGCAGCAGAAATAAGCATATCAAACACCTGTTTCATTCTTAATTTGTCACCCTTCACGTGATTTAGCTGTGATGTTCATTAGTCATGTTTCGGTGGTTTTTGGTTAAAATATACTGATTCTTTAAAAAATTAAAAGCATCAAAACACACAAAACTAAACTCTAAACGGTTCCATGAAGGCACCGCCTATTCAACGAATCATAAAGTGGTGAGTGGCAACTGTTAAATATTGGTCAGAATAGTAATCCAACTCTTGGAAACCTGCAATCTGTCTGTAAGCCACCAGATGGCAATAGCTGTGGTTGCAATAAAAAGTCTTCCCATCCTATAGAGATCTATGGGAAAATGACTCTGTCTTAACCTCTGTAAACAACTTGCTGCAGACTTTATGGAGTCACTCACTCATTTGGGGTCATACTGAATAAAACATTAAATCTGTTTTGTAAATCTTGATCATACCTTGTTTCAGAATGGACGATCACATGTGGTAAAAAAAAAAAAACCAGGACGTCTGCTTGTTCACAACTAGTCAATCAAAAGGCATTAGCCAATGAGCTTTTTTTCTGTCTGTGGCTGTAGTATGGCATAAACATAAACGAACCAGCCGTCTTCGCTCCTTATTTAGGGTTTGGTCATCACACTCGAGGCAGTCATCTTTGGACTATACAAGGGCCACTAATCACAGCTAATGAGCGCGTGCACACTCCAGTTAGCATATTCTTTCTCACATTATGCAGCTGTTTTATTAAAAGCAAAGAAACTTGATTTGACTCGATTTTCACTTAATACCTGCTCGCTGCTCATTGCCATCACATTCCGAAGACTGTTCTTACAAGCTGTAAACTGAATGAATTGAATTGAATTTAAATTACTTCATTTTATTCAACATGACGATTTGCTGTCTCTCAGGTTTAGTGACCTGCTGAAGGGCAAAACGAGGAACATGAAGATGTCAGTTTGAATCTATTTTTGTTTATTTCATACGACTAATTTAAAAGTTAGAACAGGGTCTAACTGGTAATGAAAGAGTTTTTAATTTGAGACATAATTCAACATGTATCAGTGATGGATCAACTGAAGCTTGACCTGTATTTTGTTGCTATTTTATTGCTTATTTCCTGCTGTATTGAATGCACTCCCAAAACTGATCCCTGTAGAAAACAGCTAAGTGGCCTGGTGGCCTCGTTATTTTCATTCACTGACTCTTCTCTGTTCTTTTCTCCTGCTGCTGTCACATCATTGATGACACAACCTTTCATTTTTCTGAATGGATTTGTTTGCTTTTTATATTTGGAGTAAATTATGAGGATGGCACAGTAACTGTACTTTGTTATTGTAGCCCTGCAGCATTGTGGTTGTTTTCACTGACCATCATCTCTGCCATCCATCTGTTGTGTTGCAGGGATTTTCTTCCCCGTGGCTCTGGCATTGTGACCCGCCGTCCTCTGGTCCTGCAGCTGATGAACTCGCCCACCGGTAAAGCTCACCAAATTCCTTTGAAATTGCATAATGGTTTATCTTGACTGCTTCACTGACTGGCTAATCATATTTGATATCTACAGCTGATCAGACAGCTGTTCTATTTGTACAGAAATCTTGACATCTTGAAATCTGTCTTGACATTTTATTGGGAACTGTGCATCACTCTGAATACATGTGGTAAAGATGGCTGATTTGAGTCTGTTTATTCTTATTAACCAGTGACGCTGAAAAAGCCGGAGAGCTACTGTAACGGTGATTGCACTAGTTTTCTTGTGTCTAATGCTTTGAAATAAGTAAAAGGTATAAACATAATACAGTGTTTAATGAATTTATTACACGACCTGTCATAAAAACAAGAAAAGACAAGTATTTTACAAATGTGTCAAAGTCTGTCATCTGGCACAGTCTATTTCATTTAAGACTAAAAGGAAGGTTTTCACTTACTTCTGTCCTTTTAAGTGCGTCTCGATTTCCTAAAGTCAGCATGTAGTTGAATGAACTGCATCTTAGTTCACTTCACAGATTTACATTTAACATCTTTGTGTCAACAGAGAGTCCAGCTGCCTTTAATATTTTACTTCTATTCCAAAGGCTGCCACATCCACATCCCTCTTCATTCTCTTCAGACACAGGAGCTTCATTCTTGGCCAAACCTTCCGTCTCCTCTCATCACGTTCTTGGCCTTTATTTATTTATTTTTATTTGTTTGAAATGTAGCTGTTATAACATCCCCTGTCATTTTATTATTTGTTGCTGAGCCTTCCTGGAAAGACACAACACTTGGGAAAGTAGACAGCTTTTAACCCACTCTCCCATCACCCACCCAACCCTGGCTCCTCCTGGAGTCTAATAAGTCCCCCTATCCTCAGAGGAAAACCATCCGTGCACATTTGCCATTCTCTCTATAGACTTGCGATGACATCATCCTCCCGTTACCATAGTTACACGTTGTTACATTGATTCAGGATCTAGCAGAGAGTGTTTTCTCACAGCGTAGTCATGGTGCGAATCATAAATTACTTTGCGTTAATCTAAAATCAATACGTGGTCGCAGCAACCGTTACTTCATGAATCAAGCTCTAACTGAGTTATCTAACAGTTTTTATCTGTCTTAAGTCTCATCCAAGGACACATCACTTTGCAGCTGAGCGTCGTTCACTATGATCGACATTCAAAACCTTTAATTTCCCATGAACAAAAATCATGTTAAAAGGGTTTGATTCAACTCTCTGTTTACCGTCTTTGCTGTTCACCTCACCGGATCTTCTGATATTCTGTCACATTACTTTCATTTGTGTCTCACTTTTTTGCCGTTTCTTCCAGAATTCGCCGAGTTCCTGCACTGTAAGGGTAAAAAGTTTATAGATTTTGATGAGGTCCGGCAGGAGATCGAGGCGGAGACGGATCGCGCGACTGGAGCCAACAAGGGAATCTCCCCTGTGCCCATCAACCTGCGTGTTTACTCTCCGCACGGTGAGGCTGACGCAGTTTTATTCCACACACACTGAAGATTTAATCTGTGTGTAGAGCATCAATAAGTTTAGTTTTGAATTGGCTTTGTGTTTTCTCTTCTTTCTTTTCTTTTTTACCCTCACAGTGCTGAACCTGACACTTGTGGACCTGCCGGGGATGACCAAGGTGCCGGTGGGTGACCAGCCTGCTGACATTGAATTTCAGATAAGAGACATGTTAATGCAGTTTGTCACCAAGGAGAACTGTCTGATGCTGGCCGTCTCCCCGGCCAACTCTGACCTGGCCAACTCCGACGCTTTAAAGATTGCCAAAGAGGTCGACCCTCAGGGTGAGTTTACACACATGTAAAGAAGCTAATAGGAGTTTTATAAGTCTTTGAAATGATGTTTCATTTATAATTGCTCTTTGTATCATCCTAGTTATTTTTATACAGATGCACATAATGAAATACTGTTGGTAAATTTGCGTGACTGGGTCAGGTTTAAGGACCATCGGTGTGATCACCAAGCTGGACCTGATGGATGAGGGGACCGATGCTAAAGACATCTTGGAGAATAAGCTGCTTCCACTCAGGAGAGGTGCGTAATACCTCGACAGCACGCTCACACAAAAAGTAGCACCTTTTCTGTCTCCTTCAGGTCGGTCGCAACGACGCACTGTTTCCCCCTTGTGGTAACTCAGAGCTTTTCAGTGCTTCCAACATCTGCAACGAAGAACAGAAACAGGGCCAAAGGATGTGGGAGAGCGTGTAAGAAATCAAAAGACAGACAAAGGGGTGAAAGAGAGGAAGAGCTGGAAGGAAAAGCAGGGGAAGGGGCAAAGAGAAAAAAGCAAAAACACTGTCTTGGAAAATAACTCGCATGTAATTTGTGAGCTGCCCTTTATTGCAATGTGCTGATGTGGTGCTTTTCTTTTCCATTTGCACTTGGTTAAAACCCAGGCATGTGCTTTGGAATATTTTCCATTTCCTTTGTTTTTTCTATACTTTTCCCCCCTCTCCCTTCTTTTTCTCCCCGTCTCTCTAACGCTGTGGATATGCACATTTACAAGGCTGCTGGCTCCCAGTTGCCTTAGTTATAGAGCATGAAACAGCTTTTAACTGAGTGATGCATGAGGAAGCTTAACTGGAGGTGAAACAGGATCCTTTTGACCTAACCTCTCCTGGTTATTTCGCCGCACTTCTTTTTTTTTTTTGTCTCTCTACGCCTTAAAAGAAGAAACGCATCCAGGAATTCTTTCTCTCTTTCTGGTTTTATGCAAATCCCTCTTCCCCCTTTTCTCTTCTCCTGTCTATATTCTTTTAAGTTGAGGTCTGAGGTCTCTTAAAATGTGGTTTAACATTATTAAACACATGTGAAACAGTTGGGTCCTTGGAGGGGCTGTTCAGACCTGAGGACATGGGTAGAAAATAAAAACCCAGAAAAGTTCAGTGTTGCTCTAACACAAGTCTGTATTATCTTCCAGACAAATTACAATACCCGTTTCAAGTCTGTCAGGAAACGATCAAAGGAGTTGGATGGTTTTCTCTAAATCTGTCAGTGTTTTAGGGTTTACTGTGAGTGTGGAGCTCTCTGTCTGCTTGTCCAGGTTACATTGGTGTGGTGAATAGAAGCCAGAAGGACATAGATGGAAAGAAGGACATTAATGCTGCAATGGCTGCCGAGAGGAAGTTCTTTCTCTCCCACCCGGCATACAGACACCTGGCTGACCGCATGGGAACTCCCTACCTCCAGAAAGTCCTCAATCAGGTGTGTAAACATGTGAATGTAGTGAGCCCATTCCTATGTATTCCCAAAACACTATTTCAGTTTTCTAGTGACCTTATTCTGATATTCTGACCTTTGACCTGCACAGCAACTGACCAACCACATCCGGGACACCCTGCCGAATCTGCGGGCCAAGCTGCAGAGTCAGCTTCTGTCCATCGAAAAGGAGGTGGAAGAGTACAAGAACTTCAGACCTGATGATCCGTCTCGCAAAACCAAGGCTCTCCTGCAGTGAGACAAAGCGCACACACACACACACACACACACACACACACACACACACACACACACACACACACACACACACACAGAAATGTTAACATCTGCACCTTTTCCTGTAGGATGGTGCAGCAGTTCTCGGTGGATTTTGAAAAATGCATAGAGGGCTCTGGGGACCAGATCGACACGGCCGAGCTGTCGGGTGGTGCCAGGATCAATCGCATCTTCCATGAACGCTTCCCCTTTGAACTGGTCAAGGTGTGTGTCGGTTTTGAGATGTCAGGAAGTTATGCGAAGGGTTTATATGGCAGTTTGGTGTCTTAGAAACCTTTCGATTATATTGTACTTGTTATTGTACAGTGTAAATCCAGTGCTGTTCAAAAGTCTTGAGCCGCACCTCTTTTTGTGTGTGTGTGATGCTAGGAAAATGGGAAATAGGTTCAGGGCTTTGTTTTAAAACATGGGCAAACATACATAGAAATACAGTATATAAGGCAAAACAAGGGAATTTCTCCAATTCTAATGATCATATTAGAAATTCAATATTTGGTATGATCACCTTTATGATCTAAAAACAATCGGAAATGAAGGTAAGAGTTCTTATAATTTCTTATAGTATTCAGGATTCATACTCAGGCTTCTTGAAGGACATTAAAAGCTCTGTGGATGTTGATCCTACACTGCTTCAATAATGTTATGGTCCAGGCTCTGGGAGCCCAATCCATGGCTGACAGTGTTTCATTGTGTGTTTTTCTATCCAGGTATGCTTTTACTGTATTGGCAGTGTGTTTTGGATCATTGTCATGCTGAAAAATTAGCCACTCAATCAAAATCTGACTTTACTTTCCTGCATTTATAATTCGATCAGTTTTGACCAGAATCAAATTGATGGCTTAAATGCAACTACAGCAGGTTCAGAGTCTCTTCTGTGTTTTAGAGATGGCTGTAGGTCCTCGCCATCCTGTGTCATGTCTTCACTTGATTTTTCCCCCCCTATTTCTTAAGGATGTGACTTTTAGATTCTGTTCATCAGCTGATAGACTCCACTTGTCCAGTTCCCTCATATTTTTTTAAGCCACACTGCACACAATGCTGAGATATGACAAGTTTTTAGACATGGGAACTAATTATGTGTGCTTGAATAGGTCAGTGTTAAGCAGCTCAACAAACAAAAAACATTCTTCTGAAAATGGCCCTGGGACTGGGTCAGGACTGGACTGAAAAAGCAGCCAAAGAAAAACTGTGGAAGACCTTCAGAAAGCCTGGAAAACTCAAGACTACTTTAAAAAAATACAAGAAAGTCTATCTCCTTGTAAGCTAAATCTAAACAAATGAAGAGTGGCTCAAGTCTGTAAATCAAATAAATAACTTTGGATTAGCAGTAATGTTAGTCAGCTGCATATTTCATTTGTTCGGCAAATTAAGTTTGTTAGGGGGAAAGAAAAGTAGGTCTCCTCACTGGGTCATGATTTATCAAAAGATGCATTGCTAAAAAAAACCCTCTATGTAACAAAAAGCAAGTGGCTCTTAGTTGGATCTCCAAACATGGACAGCTCACTCCAAAACAGTCTAGTTCGTTTTTGGATGAACTGTCTTTGTAATAACTCTGTGTCTGTATTTTAGACACTGTCGACAGAAAAAAGGTCCTAAAGTCAAGTTTCTCTCAGTCTCTTTAAATCATGACATTTCTCCCCTTCATTGTCCTGCTTTCCTCGCCAAAAGGAAGTGCCTGAGCTTCTTCGCCCGGACGTCTCCCACCTTACCTCTCACACTGTTTCTCTCACCCCATCACCATTTCCATCCACTTTTAAAGCCTTCTCTGTCCGCCTTCCACCTTGTATTAATCCTCGAGGTCTTTGCTTGCTCCCTCTGGTCTGGTTCATTTTCTCTCACAATATGCCCGTCCTTTCTCTTCCCCGCTTTTCTTCCCTGTCCTCTCTCGCCCTCCCTTTGAGGATATAAAACTTACTGTCTGTGACCAAGTTGCAAAAAAATAAATAAAAATGCAGTGTTGGTTTCCCCTGAGGTAAAAAAAAAAAAAGAGCAGGTTGCTTCCTAACCAGAAAACTTACTCAAAACACAGAAAACCCTCAAAGCCTGCCAGATACATTAGAAGCCGCAGCGAGTAGCTAGAAGTCAATTCATCATTATGTTTTATTTGCTTATGGTGCACGCTTCAGAGAAAATATTCAATTTTGAGTAAAAGCAGGGGAGAATGTGGCATCGCAGTAAATATCATGGAGATACTTGGACAAATATATTAAAAACAGATGTTGCAGGAATAGTCAACAAAGTGACATGAAAGCGAGCGCTGAGTTAGGGAGAATACAAAGTCTGCATGTGCATGTTTGACAACATCTTCCTTTCTCTGTCTGCCTTTCAGATGGAGTTTGACGAGAAAGAACTCCGCAAGGAAATCAGCTACGCTATCAAGAACATTCATGGCATCAGGCACGTCTGCCTTCCAGCTCACCCTCCACCCTTCCCTCTCTTCTTTCTCTGCTTCACCTCCCATCTCTTTGTCTCAGTCACATCTAACCTGCAACTACCCTCCTTGCTAATCCAAGACAGCAGTAACACAAATTGAGGGCTCTGCTGCACACTAAGGTTATACAATATACTTCAGCACAGGGTTGTTTGGGAACAGACGCAGCTGCTGACTGCTGGGTACCCTCGTTTTTTATGTGGTTGCACATTCATGCTGATAAAAGGGCTTTTCATCTCTGTACCTTATTTCTGGGATGTTCTTGTTCCCTCTTCCTGATGATGTGCATGTTTACTGTCTATTTTATTTCACCCCAAAAATTCGGCTAAGCTTTGATTTAGAGTTTTGTTTGTCAAAATCAAACTACGGTATATGGCAAAACTTGTGGGTTTATATATATATATGTATATATTTATATTTATAAAACATAAATGAGCTATGCAAAGAAATCATATTTAATATATTTCCATTAGTGCCAAAATATTTCGGATTTCTATCCCTTCTGGTTTCTACTTCGTTCATGTATGTGTCTTTAAAATACCAGATAGATGTTTACCAGGATGTAAAAGCAAGATAAAAAAGAGTTGCTCTTCACATTTTGGTGTAAGAAAATCATGCTTCTGGTTTGAGTATGTTTTAAAATAAGGAGAGCTGAGCAAAACACAACAATTATGTGCAACAAACACTTATAAAAAAAAGAGTAAGATAACATGTAGACTAAACAGGATAATACAAAAAATCAATTTGTTTAAATGTGGATTACTGCACATACACTGCTTAACAGTTTTATTAAACCACCACTAACTTTAAGGTTAATTCCACAGCAGCCCTAAATAACAGTACTGGTTACTGTATAATCCACCAATATAAACAAGCTCTTTAATTGAAATTATATAGTAAAATTATTGTTGTTATCCTTGAATTTTCAAATTGATTGTTTTATTATAAAAAGCTAATAAATAGTAAAGAAAATTATTATTTTTATCAAGATGACAAGTTACAGTTCTTTTAGTTAAATTGTTTTTAGTTTGAAACTATTTTTTAAAAAGTCTTTGCTTTTATGACAGGTGCTTTATTACATTTGTTAAGCCCTGTATGTAAAATACTTGCTGTGATGCTTGATTATAAAAGGTATATGACTAATGTGAGTGACACGACGGCCTCTTTGGTCTAAAACAATAACTGAATATTTGCTGTGTAGGATCACATCCCGGTTCCTTGCCTTTTCTTGTCTTTTGCTGAATTTTTGCCAGAAGTGGAGGGTAAATCTTTATAATTAACACTCTCCTCTCTACCCAACCCTCTTTATTCCTTCTCTTTTCTTTCTTTCCACCAACTCCTCCTCTTCCTCTCGTCTTTCGGCCCTGTGGCTGCTTCTCTCTGTGTCGGGCAGAACTGGCCTCTTCACCCCGGACATGGCCTTTGAGACCATTGTGAAAAGGCAGATTGGGAAGATTAAAGAGCCTTGCACCAAATGTGTGGACATGGTCATTTCTGAGCTAGTCAATACAGTTAGGCAGTGTACCAAGAAGGTAAAAAAAATAAAAGCTAGCACTTTTTTCCTTGCTTTCCACCTCTTCAGTCCCTCTGCTGTTCGCTCCCTTTCACTCTAACCACCTGACTCCCTCCAGCCCTCGCTGCTGTTGGACAGCGAGGGGACGCCTGGAGCGGCAGGGTGGGCTGCTGTACGCCTGCCTGCCCTACCTTACTGTAGTACCGTGGAGGGTTTGGCTGGACAGATTGGCTGTGGTAGATGGTTGTGCTGAAGAAACAGAGTGGGGACGCTGAGCGATCATCAGAATACGTCTGCCTTAGAAAGCTATCAGAGCATTCAGTGATGCTCGGAGTAAACTGATGGGTAACATCACGAGGGCAACACCCTTTCCACCTTTTCTAGTGCAAGCTAGACAAACACATACACATAAAATCCTGTCTTTCATTTCGAATACCTGGCAGGCGTATTGGATGACCTCAGTATCCGAACTTTCTCGTGTGTGAGATTGCAGCCGTGCACCTGCAGCTGACGGGAGCCATGACAATTACTGCTTAACTTCATGCCTCAGGGGCTGCACTCTGAGCGAAAGATGAGAGAAAGCAGGGCCAAAGAAAAGAGCAGCAATCTTTATCCACGCGGATCGGCTGTAACCAAGCAAGTTCAAGAGCGCGACAACGCTGGGATGATAAATATCATGATCGGACTCCCTCTGGAAGTCAGAGGAGAGCTGGGTGGAGAGGGGTTCGACACCAGGGGAGATCAGGCTGTTTTGGCTGGAGGTTGGGGTGCACAGCTGCGGTCTCGTGGTGTGTTGCTTGGAGTTTTTGGCTGGCAGAGTCACGCAGGCTGGGAGCTCTTTCTATTTCTTTCAGTCTCCTCCTCGTCTTCTTTGTTCATAGAGAGAGGCTCCAGCACTGTCCTGTTTTAGGATGGCTTTAGGGGGAAACCAAATGTCTCACTTGCACTTTCTTCCTTCTGTGCTGTTTATCCCCCCCCCCCCGCCCACCCCCCTCTTGTCTTTGTCATCTTCAATCTGTTCTCCTGCTTCATCTCCAATTTTCACCTGCCTCATCTGTTTACTGCCCCTCTCCCTCACCATCTGTTCTCACGGCTTTCTTTTAAATTGGTCTCATCTTTTTACTGTATTTCCTTTCTACCTCCACTTACAACTCTTCATTCGATGCTTTTAATTTTCCTCTTTCCCCACCTATTTCTTTCGTTTTTATTTCTTTCCTGCTCCTTTCTCTCTCTCGTACTGCCTACCTATCTCTACAGGACGGGGCTATTCACCCCCGACCTGGCTTTTGAAGCCATAGTGAAAAAGCAGATCCAAAAGCTGAAGGAGCCCACACTGAAGTGTATAGATATGGTAGTGAGTGAACTCACCTTCACCATACAGAAGTGTAGCCAAAAGGTAAAATGTTAAAGAGAACAAAGCCACTTTCGTTATCTCTGTTAATCTTACAGGTAAGGGTAGACTGATAGCTGGAGTTTTTTTTTTACCCATACTTTATATGAAGAGATATATGAGAGACAAACAGTATTTGTATCCAAAAAACACCTTGTATATTATATTTATTGGTTATAAGGAAGAAAATCATTTTTTAATGCAATGACTGGCTAAAATAGCGCCAATGCTATATTTTATACATGTTAAATAATGTTATATGAAGACTATGCATAAAAAGCTACGTTGCTGTGCTAAAGTCTTATATCTTTATATGGGAAAAAGGTGCAGCGATTTATTGAAACATGTACAAACATATGTGGCAATGCAGAGCTCGTACAATACTAATGACGTCAAAAGGCTGCATAATTAAATGGTACCACATGAGCCACATTGTGCTGCTCTGTAAAGAGAGTAGTGCACAAGTCTGATGCTCCAGAGACTCCACTGACTACACCGTAATCAGCTGTGATAAACATAATCAACAATTACAACGTCTTTGATTAAAAAAAGCATTTTTTAATTAAAAAAAGACACAAAACCCCCCAAATTAGGACATTTTTAAGTGACATAAAATGTTGAGCAGTATTTGTAAACCGACCCACAATAAATAAAGAATGAATGAATGAATGTAAGTTTTGAAACACACTAAACTTTAATCAGCACTTATCAGTCTATCCTTGCTCCTTATGTAACCACGTAACCTTTATTGTAACTAAACTATGGTTATCATTTGGTTTTTTTGTCGGTTATAACCGGCCTTATATTGACAACCAAGCACACCGCATGTTAGACAACTTTTTGGTTTTTTTCCTCAGTATATTTCATGATGTCTAAAAACCGTTTGATTTAACCGGATTAAAATCACACCTTTTCTGTCTCTGTCAGTGTGGTTCAATATACCGGAGTGACTGGTTGTGTACTTCCACTCATTGACTAACTGACGTGATTCGAGCGTCTCTTTATTTCTTCTTTCATTTCTCTTTCGTCCTCTCCGTCCCGTCGTCCTGCACAAACCTTTGAATGGCTGCTTCCTCGCTAAGTGACTGACCAGCACAGAGTAGCAGTGCCGCCTCCTTTGGATTTCTCTTCACTGTCACGCTTTTGCAGTTATTTCACTGTATCAAAAAGATACTGTAACATAATACCCAGTGTTTGGGAAAATCCACAAAGGGGGTCAGTTTGAAGTCTTCCCACACCTCCCCGTCCCCCACCCTCCACCCTCCACCCTTTCCCTGCTTCTTTGCATTGCATGCCAGCCTGAATCTCTTCTCTCCACTGTTTTTTTTTTTTCAGTGTCAGTTCTGAAGTCACTGACCGCAGCAGCAGATTTTGACAGATCGTATCTGTCGTCAAGTTGCGTTGCATCTTTCTACCTGCATAAATTATCTGCTTCCATATGGCGCACGTAACTTTTCGCATGAAATGCTTCTCGTCAAAACAGTCTCCATTCGTAACGGCACAGTGATGCCGTTGTTAGTTGTGTGTGCCTTCTAAATAAAATCAACATTCTGATTGGGAGATATGCTTCAGATATGCACCCTCGGTCCTCTAAAACAGCAGTGTATGCTGTGTGATGTTGAAAAGCCTCATTATTATTGGCAGTAGGACCTGAAAAAGTCACTTATTTAATTCAAATACTGGCAGAAATTATTTAAAATGTTTCTTCTTTATCGGTGTCATCTGCTCTGTCAGTGGATCAGACCTGGAAGGCACTAAATAAGCTCCCAAACAACGAAAGAGGCCAATCGGTACCTACTCACTAACCCAAAGATGCACTGTAACTTGCACGAAAGCCTTTCTTTCTCGTGCTGCGATTATTTGATTTTCTTTGCTTTTCTCTCTTTCCTCACACTTCTCCAAATGTGTTTGTGTCGCATTGGAGACCCACCAGCGTCTGCGTTCGTGGGTTTTGCAATGAGCTCATGGAAAAAGACCCACAGTGTGCTGGGAAAAAGAAAGCTTTTTCTGCCAGGAACATTGTTTATTCTGTGTTTGTGGTGAAAAAGAAGAAAAATCACAGACTTTGCTCTATTCTCTTGCATTTGTTACACGGTGGGAACGAATACACATTTGGCACGTATTATTTAATCTAACACAAGTCAACACCCACTCAGGGTGAGCAGTGACTAGAGCTGAGTCTGCGATAAACCCAGACCCCCTCAAACATACCGTGTTTAATTGTGTTTCTGTATTTTGTTGTGTTGTGGAACTGTGTGCTGTGGTTCTGTGAGATTTTTTTTTTTTTAATTTGTTTACTGAATCTTGTACATTGACGTGTGACAGTGTGTGCATGTGTTGGGATCTGTGTTTGTTTTTTTGGGCTACTTACCTACCGTTTTCTGTGCTCACAGCTGGCTCAGTACCCCATGCTGAGGGAGGAGATGGAGAGAATTGTCACTCAGCACATCAGAGACAGAGAAAGCCGCACTAAAGGACAGGTAAAGCAGACAAACAGTGTGTACGGTGTAAAGTGTGTGTGTGTGTGTGTGTGGGGGGAGGGGGGGGGTGGTTGTGATGGTGTGGTACGTTTGTGTAAAACAATGATATGAATGAATTGTTTTGTCCTGGTTTAAATCAGTGTGCATCCTGGTGCGTGCTGGAATTTGTCATTGTTCTATATAATAACCGCATCATGATGTCTTAGGAAGGAAAGTGCTTTGTTGTCTCTTAAAGTTGTGATATTTTGCTTTCATGAAGGCAGCTGTGAGATCTTTTTACTGGTCTGTTTCCAACTAGTGGTCCATTATCTCAAAATTTCCATGTCTGCAAACCATTTTCAGTTACAAGCTGCTCCTATTTAGTGCTTTAATCTTATTTCATATTCATTTTTTATGGAGAATATAATAATTTGTAATGTAGAAAGTATTTCTGCAAAGAAGCAGGGGCTTTTAACAGTTTGTTCTTACTCACTTCCTGCTGAAATAGTTTTTCTTAAAGTATATCAGTTTAATTTTACTTATTGACCAATCACAGTGCTTAAGACTACAAGTCACATTTAACCATGAATTCATACAGCGCTTTAATCTAAACACTTTACCTAAGTCACATACGCCCAATATACACCCACCGGCCACTTTATTAGTTGCACCTTGCTCGTACTGTTCTAGACCCAGTTTTCCATCAGAACTGCCTTTATTGTGTGTAGCAGAGATTTACTAACATGCTGGAAACACTCTTCTGAGATTTTGGTCCATTTTGATATGATAGTATTACACAGATGCTGCAGGTTTGTCAGCTGCATATCCATAATCCCTGCTCTGTGCTCTGTGGTCATAAAGGGATCGACATAGTCACCAACAGCGCTCATAGATTCTATGATGTATATATAATGATCAGTGGCAGCCGATGTGGTCTACTGCTGAAGCCCATCTGCTTCAAGGTTTGATATGTTGTGCATTAAGAGATGCTCTTCTGCGTACCTCGGTTGCTTTCCTATCAGCTTGAAGCAGTTTGACCATTATCCTCTGACCTCGAGAACCAGCAAGGCATTTTTAGCCAGAGAACTGCTGCTCATTTTCTCTTTTTTTGAATCATTCTCCATAAAACCCTAGAGATGGTTGTGTGGGAAAATCCCAGCAGATCAGCAGTTTTTGAAATACTCAGACCGGCCCATCTGGCAACAACCATGCCAGATTCAGAATAACTTCAATCACCTTTCTTTCTTATTCTGATGCTCATTTTGAACGTGAATAGGTCTTGACCATGACTGAATTAAATGAAAGGGTGTACCTAATGCAGTGGCTTTTGAGTGAGTTGACCTAGCCAGAGCACTCTAATGAAGCCCATGTAGGAACAGGAAGAACATGGAAACTTCCCATCTGGGTTTTGAATCAGGAACTTCATGCTGTGAGGTGACAGTGTAACCTCTGTGCTGCCTCGTTCCCCTATAATTTTCACTGAACACTATGACCTTTCCAAACATTTCCGTGTAAATGCACACACACACACACACACACACACACACACACACACACACACACACACACACACACACACACACACACACTGTTACGAGAAAGAAGTTTAAGAAGTTAAAAGAGACAAACTACAAGAAACCAGTTTTGTGATGTTGCATTGCTCTGTGTGTATAGTGATAATAAAGATTATTCAGATTCAATGATACATAGAAAGTACCTCAGATTTAATTCATTGAGTGCGGCTGAATTACAAAATGAAAGCTGGGGACCAGGGCTCCAAAATATGATATATAAGTATAAAACTGACTGTTTTACTCTCTCTGTTCAGGTGTTGCTGTTGATAGATATTGAGCTGTCCTATATGAACACTAACCATGAGGACTTCATCGGATTTGCCAAGTAAGTTTAGAAATCTGCTGCCGCTACAGTGGAAAGTCTTTACTACTTAAGGTCAAAGTACAGTATCGCATGTTTTGTTGTGCAGTGCCCAGCAGAGGATCAACCAGATGAGCAAGAAGAAAGCAGCCGGCAATCAGGTACTCCGATCACTAACAGGCAGGCACGCTGTCTGTACTCTTGCAGAGCTGTGCTGTTCACTCCAGGCCTCTTTCAGCTGCTGTAACACGATGATTCCACTCCTCCAAATATGTTTTGTCTGTTGGCAAGCAACGTGCCAGCTGAACTTTATAAAGTTTTACCCTAAGGCTTAGCTCTGTTAGCACTCAGCTCTTGTGTTTTCGCTCATGGTAAATGTTGCACGGCTATACGGTCTATGGTTACAGTGGGCAACAGCCCATTAGTTATACAATGCCACAACCCTGTGCTGCTCTTGTACACGTTACACAATAATGGACAACACTTGTGTGGTCATGAAACAGCTTGTCCTTTTGGTGAAAAACCATGATAGCTCCTGCGGTTTAAAGCTTTAAAGACAACAACAGTTATTACCTTTCCACCCAATAGAAAGCCTTCTAATAAAAAAAAACAACACAGTACAGTAACTGAATATTTAAGTGTAATGGCTACATATTTATGGTTCGGTAACAGCTTTTGGATGACGTTGCTTTTTTAAAGTGTTTTGAAGCGCTTCCTGTGCATTCTTCTTCTACTTTTAGCATATTTTTATTTTACTCTCTTTTTCTTCTTCTTCTTCTTATCAGCTCTATATGTTTTAGTATCTGTCATTTTGTTGCCTTGAGTTTCCTCTGAGTGTTTTTTTCTTTGCTCTCTTTCGTCCCTTCCTCCTTCTCTCTGTGGCTTTTGCACTTCAGGATGAAATCATGGTGAGTAGTGTGGGGCTGTGATTCTGTGCATATCTGCAGGTGAGCATTTGTATGTATGAGCTCATATCCATACACGTTACATATATCAGGATTTATGTGTTTATAAATGTTTAAACTTGTATGTCTTTTATGTATTTTAGGCTGTAATTAATAGTGGATACATGAGTGTGTGTGTGTGTGTGTGTATGAAATAACATTCAGAGTAAGTGCTAGTAGATTGGCAGGTGGCTGTAGTTAGAGATGCTTGGCTGTTTCCTTGTTCTCCTTTTTTTCAGCTATGTCATCCCCACAGAAACACAATTACATTTCAGGGTTGTAAATATGCCATAAAAAGCTTTTGTGCACATAAAAAGAAGTCTGATTCTCTGTTGTATAATGTTATTTTGTGTGTGTGTGTGCGTGAACCCCACATGCATCTTTCAGAAAGGCCCAGTTTGGAGATGTTCAGTGTGGCTTTGGCTCTGCAGTTGATTTGCTTTGGCAGTAAATAGATGCCCCCCAGCAGTAGCTTGAACTACATGAAGAGGGAGTCACACGTCTAAAGAAGCAATAAAGACAAAAGACAGAAAAGAAGAGAGTCTGAAAAAATTCTGATAAATATTTTCCCTCGAAATATTGATCAAAGGGGTCTTAGCGTTCCCCTGCCTCTTCTAAATTCAAAGTAACACAGAAGGCCAGAGGACATGAATACCTGCAGACATATGGCATCCCTGTAGTTGTCACTGCAACCACCCAGAGAAGGGTCAAAGGTTAGGGGCACATTGTAAGCAAAGTGGTGAACTTAACATCCTGTTTATAGATGGATATCATTGGCCCTTAAAGACCCTGAAGCTTCTGCTCTTCTCATTCACTGCTGGTCTGACCTCCATGCAGGGAAATTTAGGAGAACATGAAAGTAGAAACTCAACATTAAAAATGTTTCTGAAAACACCTCTGTGTCTTAGATAATCTTTCAAATATTACAAATCCTTTACAGGCCACCAAGTTATGCTTAAAGCTAACCACACCTTATGATAGATCCTAATCTAAATGTTCAAGAAGTATAAACTTTTTATAGAGATTAATTATTAATTATTTAAATGTAGAGCAAGTCCCTCATGTAAAACTTAAAACACGTCTCATTAGACCTCCTTTTATAAGGCAAAACAGTGACAAGACCTAAAGGCGTTGACTCTATAAGAACAGGCTGATAGCCAGATTATAGATTATTTGTCTTTTCTAAAAAAAAAAATCCCAAAATACTGACTCTAAGTAATCTGATTACTTGTAAATTTTCCAATGTAATCTTGTTACATAAGTACAGTGTAAACTGTTACATTTAACTGACTCTGGACAAATTAATTTTATGTGATTGGCGGACATTCAGTTTACACCAAGCATGTTTTCCTTTGTTTATTATATATATGATATATTTTTCAGTTGCATTTAACCCCAAATTACTACTTTATATTTATGAGGGCAAAGAATTATGTCTTTAAGTGTGTGCTGTGGACCCTTATTGTTGTCCAGAAACCATCAGAAGAGCATAAGTGAGTTGAATTGTTCAATAGTGATCCAAACAACACAAATGAATGGACTTCATAAATCCATCCAGACTTTTTTTAAGGCTTTACATTGTCGGTAGGTAATTGCCAGGCTTTAAATTATTTTATTCTGCTTTAAACTACTTTAAAGGGAAACAGCTGAATTGAATGTATGTTATTTCAATGCTCTTGCTCAGATAATTAATCGGCTGCTTCCATTTGCAAAGCTCATACCTACAGTGTAGCATAAAACAGGATCGCATGCATTTCACTGCATGATCTTCAAAAGGTGATACGGGCCACTGCAGCCTCCTTATCTGCCTCGTCCCTCACCCTGCTTGCTGTCCCCTTGCTGCCATCCCAGCAGCCGGCTGTAATGTGCTGGCAGTTGATCAGTCGTGTGTATTTGGCCTTTTACTAAATGCCCTATGCTGGCATAGCTTTGTAATATTCTCTCCACATTCTCATTCAGCCGGAGAGAGGAGTTAACGATCGGTTCAAGGTAAATAACCTGCACACCATCGTACTGTATGTGTGACTGTAAAGTGGAGGGAATGAAATACAAGAGAGCTGAGGAGAAAAAAGAGAGCGAGTGCGAGGAGTGTGTTGGTGGTTAGCTGAGCGTTTTTGTTAGCTCATTCACTTCTGCTGTGTAGGTAGGCCTACATATGTGTGTGGTAAATGTCTGTAAATGTAAAGGTTGATGGATGTTAATGTTAGCTTTGTGAAATGTGCAAATGCTGGTTGAGTTTCAGCTCATTTCCTTTCTGTGTGTCTGCTATATCTGTCTGTTTCTCAGGTGATCAGGAAGGGCTGGCTGACCATTAATAACATCGGCATCATGAAGGGAGGCGCCAAGGAGTACTGGTTTGTACTCACCGCCGAGAGTCTGTCCTGGTACAAGGATGATGAGGTGAGACAGAGTTCATGTAAAGTCACTCGTGCACACGGAGTCACACGGTCAGGGTGTTTGTGTGTGTTTGCATGTTTCAGTATCTGCACACTCAAAGTCTTGGTTTAGAGTTCTGTTTGCGGTCTGAGCTGCAGACCTGATGACTGAATCATCTGCCCGAAGCATCAGCCAACTGCTTTGTAGTGTTTTCCAAAGAAAAATGCAGCGCAAGAGATTCATAAAAGTATGCAACACTGCACTACAAGTACTTGTTACTGCATAGAAACAGAGTTTTGTTTTGAAAGGGAAACAAAGGGTTCTTTGCAGGATAATTGATTCAAAGTTAAACCCGACTGAAACTCAGTTTTGAAGGCTCAGATCAATATTTGAAAATCTTATGATGACGATCTGAGACATGTTGTTTTTTGCTTTTGTGTGTGTTGACCATAATATATAAATAAAAAACCCAGAAAAGGACTTAAAATGGGTCATTTAACGAGTTGAAAAATAAACTGGATAGTGCCCCCTGATGGATAAACAATATAATGTCCGTGCAGTGCAAATGACCACAGATCAACAGTCTTTTGATTCTTGTGTTCCAACTTATGTGCTGACAGAGATTTTTCTGTGTTTAGTAAACGTCAGACTAGTCAGCCGCTCCATTTTTTGGTGTACTTCAGTTTGACAGGACTTTGGAGTTTGGTGGTTTCATATAATTAGGAAAAAGCTTGTTTGGGAAAAACAAAACTTGACAAAATTGACATTTCTTCACAGTATAATTTGATTATAAAGCATGTAGTCTTCCTACTGTATGACACTATGAAATTACATTTTACTCTGGCGGTTTTTCTGCATCTTTACCGCACAACCCGACACAATTTTCCTGGGATCCGAGTGTTTATTCTCCATGACCTGGTCCAACATTCATTCCACTGCAGCTATGACTGCTGGTCAGTGTTATCTTCTGCACACTGATATGATTCTCCCTGACATGCTTTGTTACTGGACTTACTGGTCAAAGCGGTATCCCATGATGCTTTGCAGAACTATTAGGAGCTAGCCACAGTCTCGCTGTCTCCATGCCTTAGCCACAGCCTCTGTGCGCGCTGACATCAGGCTGTGTGTGTGTGTGTGTGCGTGTGTGTGTGTGTGTGTGTGTGTGTGTGTGTGTGTGTGTAGGACTGAGCAGACCTTTCTAAAAAGTCAGGACCCCACAGCATGTCAGACATTGAAGCTGGCACACATATGTGCATACCAGAGCCCTTGCATTGCCCTGTTCCTAATTACACACACACACACACACACACACACACACACACACACACACACACACACAAGCTGTTTCTAATAAACCTACTTTATTTCAAAGAAGGGGCACAAAGTGAGAGGGGGACTGGATCGCAGGGGTGGAGGCAGGAGTGTCTCTCGTTAGCTGGTTAGCAGCAGGAGTAACAAGGACCATGTGAGGAGAGAAAGTGGGGAGAAAAGGTAGCACAGATGGGGGGGGGCAAAGAGGTAGGAAGGGCTGGTTTGGTACATTACATCCTCCCTCCCTCCTTCTTTCCCAGCGACGTCCTCAAATGTTCTTCCCAAAAAACAAAAGAAACAGTCTGTCATCCTTTCCTCGCCTCTTGCTTTCTGTCTCAGTCTTTCCTTGTCACAGTCTCCTGTTTTTTTTACTCCTGTCTCCTCCCTCCATCTGTTACCTCTCTCTCATAATGTCTATTTATTTGAACATGGAGCTGTGAGGACGCATGGAGACCTAGAACCAACACCACGTGCTGATGTTACAGCTCAGCTCAGCCTGCTGCTGTAGCTGTAGCCTAAAAAAGGTTTACGTGATGTTTTATATCCGACATTTTACATAAGCCCCTCACACACTAGAGTACTCCGAAGGAATTATGCTGACCACCTGGGTGGAGACCTGCCAAAATATGATGCTTTGTTTAATTTCAGGGGGAAAAATGCATCAGTGCATACAGAAAACTCCACGTTTTTGCGCACCCTTTTCCACGTATATGCGTTGAAATGTTATTTGCACCATCTTGCAAAATCAGCACACGACTGTTTTATTGGTGGTGCCGCTTGTCACGGGGAAAACCCTCGCCATGGTCTGGCAAACGCATACACACATGGACACACTCCACCTCCAGACACTAATAATAACTTTCGACCCAAGTAGTGGTGCCAGGATGTTTTGATTAGTGTGTGCGTGTGTGAACGCATGCATGTGTGTGTGCTCTTAGAAGCCTTCTGGTCTGTATTACCACAGGACATGCCAGTTCTTTGAATTAGGCCGCTCTAAAGCTTAAAGCTTCCCAAAGCAGAGTGAAAGTGAGGGGGATGAGCCACAAATTGAGAAAAAAAATGGTTGTAAAGAAACATTGTGTATATGAATGTAAAACACTGGATTTTATAGACTTGTAACGCTTGTGATAGCCGTGCATTGGTATAATCAAATCCATATTTTTACACAAGCATGTGACAACCGCAGTTTCACATTGACAATAGTACAAAGGCACAAATGGCTTGATTTCATTTGATTTTTTTAAGTGCCTGTATTAACTTTGGGTGCCCTTTTTCTTTTGTGTATGTGTGTGTGTGTGTTCAGTCACTGCGCATGTGTGTGTCTGCCCGGGTTTCCCTGCTCGTGCTGTAAAGCTGCCAGAAAGCCAGACTCTCCTGGTGATCCCAGCTGTAAACATCCTGGAGGGAAACAGCAGACCGCTGCTTTCAGCACACTCATAGTAACATGTCTGCTTTAATGGTGAGCGTGTGTGTGTGTGTGTGTGCATGCACATGGACTTTTGCTTTGTGCGTTACGGGTGTGTGTATGTGTGTATATATATATATAAATGCATATACACTTGTGTGTTTGGTGGCAGGGCTGTAAATGGAAACAGGTTGGTTTTGTGGTGTTCATTCCTGAAGACGATGCTCTGTGATGAGGCACCGTGTGAACGTTTCTTTTGCTTTGGCGTGTTTGCGAGGGAGTGGGGATTCGAAACGGTACACTGCGGGTTTGCTTTATCAAAGACAGGCAGGCCCGAAGGTAAACTGTGGTCCCAGAGAAGAAGTAGAAGCAAGGGGCCGCAAGTGGAGGGGGGTAGCTAAACTTGTAACTTTTCACATGACATCACCTACAAACACTAAAACCCACAATTTTCTGTCTTTTTTTGGCGGGAGAGCTATATAAAAAAAGCAACAAAAAAAAAAAGCGAACCCAAAAACAAAACGGTGAACAGACAATGATAGAGTGGCTGCTCTTTCAACATTTCTGTCTGGTGGCTTCCTGCCTCTCTGCACATTACATGGTCATTTGAGGTAAAGCGGCCGCAAGCTGATGCAGGGAAAGCAAGAGGCATAATTGTACATTTTCATTATGAGTGCAGTGTGACGCTGGAGGTTTACTGTGCGCTTTAGTTATCTTTTTGGGTTTTTTTCTGTGTGGCTGAACTTTTCTGGTTTCAGCTTTTGGTTGCATAGGAAAATAAACAACATGTTAAAAATGTCTCGCAACCATCACTTATATCTATATGCCTGTGGTGTTTATTTACGTTTCGTGGAGCCCGTATATGTGTGATAAGTTGCTCAAGAAAAAAAGAAAAACAACAACATTGAAAACTTAAGCCTCTTTATTGTGACGATTTTTAAATATTTTTCACAAGCTGAGTCGCAGAGTGAGGTCTTGGTTACACAAACATCATATAGCTTAATAAGAGTACAACCTGATGGGTCTGTTTTCAAAATTTTAGGACTTCTCCATCACTCATAAATCCATCCTGGGCGAGGGCTAGGCCTTCTGCGGTGGAGCCTTTGGGTGCTTTATTTAGGCTCGTGCCCGGGCTGGTCCAGATGGACGAGGGGTGGTGCAGCTGCGTGTTCCCACAGCCTGATGTGCTTGTGCCTGCTGAATGCCCTTTGGAGGGCTCTCACTTTTTTTTTTACCCTCCCCCCCATCCTGCTTTTTTTAGGCAGTCGTCCTGTGCTTCCCCGGCCAGCCTAACCAATGTGCAGACTACTGTACAACCACTACTTCCTGAACAGGTAGTCTGAACACTGGGCAGGCGGGCCGGGCGGCTGAAGGGTAGCGCTGTGGAGGACTCTTTACTCATGCGCTCAGAATCAGAATCAGATATATCACCACACACACTCTTAATCGTACTCACTGTGATTGCAGCCAGGCTCCGGGGCCTGGCTTATCTTCGCAGTCTGACTGCCGCAAAGGGCCGATCGGGGATGATTGAGTGAGCTGGGATGGAAGGGATGGAGGAGGAGGTGGTGGAGGAGGAGGAGGAGCGGGAGAGGTTAGACGGAGGTGATAGGCGCTGATTGGCAGATTCTGTGACATTCCTTCCTGTTTCCCGCTGTGAAAAGCAACATTCCTCACCGAGCTCTACGGGGGAAACACAAACACACAGAAAGTGTTTAATTAATGTTAAATATCAAATATAACACATTTAGAAGTCATAAATCTGTTATATGTAGCCAATGAGCTTTAATTACTCATCGGCTAATTATATGCTTTTTAATCTGAGAATTTTGGTCTTAAATATTAATGTAACAAAGTAACTAGTATTTCTTTGCAAGAATTCTGCATTTAGAAAAGATTAAAGGCAAAAAATAAAGCCCAGCACAGATGCCAAAACACACAAAAATGGTCAACCTATTTAGCCCAAATTAGTGCAGCCTAAGCCCCATTTAGTTCCCTTAAAATTTCAGGCCAAACCGAACAAAAGTCATTAGAGTTTCAAGTACTTATGGTTAAAAACAGCTGCAAGTGCAAGTGCTGTTAATCTCCCTGGAACAGATCTTATCAGATAATATTTGTGGTCAGCCGAAATCCTCCCAACCCAACACGTCCCTCTAAAACGCCGGAGTATGCAACCTTTCGTCTCCTTAGACGTACGCCGAATGGAAAGAAAGAAAGCGGGGGATACCTGCGTCTTGGCGATCTCGTTTCACTTCTTTGCATCTTTCTGCGTTAGGTGATGCTTCTTCTTTCCCAAATCCTTGCTGAA